ACAGTGTCGCCAGCAGTGCTTGGCACTCAGGCCGTGCCCCAGAAATGGGGAGCCGCGTGAGCAAATGGCCAGCCTCTTGAGGTGCCCATGCACAAGGGAACAGGCCGAGCCATGGATAAAGCCTCCGTCCCATGATGGAAAAGTGATTTTCAAACAAAGAGCATGGCTATCTCTGCCAGCTTCTAGACCCAGACTGCATGACCGTTCAAACACACCTTGCAAACCTGGGAGTATCCAACCCACTCGCTGTCCCTTTGATTCACTCGTGGCTGGCTCAGTTCCCGCCTGTCGGATCAAACATCTCCCCTGGGCCGCTTCTCTCCAACAGCTGGCTCTGATGGGGCCAGCTGTTCCCCTGTGAGTTGAGTCGGCTGTGAGTACTTTAGCCAGGCCCCTAGCTATGTGGCCTCAGTTTCCCCACTTTTAAAAGGGAAATACATCAAGTTGACTGAGGAGCCATTAAAAAAATTAAATAAATAAAATAAAATAAAAGGGGACTATAATTGGGCTACTACTACTACATGCCTACTAGTCCCATAAAGTCATTTCTCAGCGAGCGATGGTTGCTACTCCTGGTACCCACAGAATGCTGCCTCTGTTTTCTCATTTGATAGTCACAAAAACCCCATAAATACTATCTGGGAGGGCTTTGTCCCCGAGAGTGGCTAGAGGGCTTGCTTGACCTCATGTGGTTCTTCTATGACGTTGGACCACAGGAAGGTCCACAGTCCCTCCCCCAACGGGAATCTCCTGGGTCTCTTTGGTCCCCTCAGCATCCTTGAACACCCATTCAGGTGGGTGCATCCGAAGCTCCCCACCCTACATGCTTCTTTTGCAGACACACCTCTGGGGGTATCTCGATCTCTTTCCATTTCTTTTCTAGCTCTTGCCACAATATGTGATTATACATGTGTTGGTGCATTTGTTTGCTATTGGCTTCCTCTGCTCTTCTCAAAGTTCCCCTGGGGAGAAACCTCACCTGCCTTTCACTCCCTGGACTGTGAGCTCCAACTCCCCAACTTGCAGGGCTGCTGGCCCTGCCTGGCCTCCCCCTTCCTGCACCACTGTTTGGACACTCTCATATGGCAAGGAGCTGGCCCAGTGGTAAGACTCATTTGTCTCTTGTCTCTCTGGGATCAGGGTCTGTTGTGGCCTGATATCTACTGCTTAAAAAAACCAAAAACAAAAAAAAGAACCTTTGTTTTGTATATTTGGTATGTTTTTGGATGCTTCAAGCAGGAGGGCAAATCTGGTCCCTGTTACTCCATCTCGGCTGGAAGCAGAAGTTGCAAAGGCTTTAATGATGGCATTTCTAAGGCAAACCTGGGTAGTTCTATTAAAGTTGCTCTCTCTGGTTGCCAGTCTCATCATCTGTACGGGCGTCAGGAGCGTTTAACGAATACAGCAGACAAAGCCTCATTGAGTCCCAGGAGAGAGGGCGTTGTGACCCCTGAGATGTCAGGACAGCTCCTGCCTTTCTGCTGTGTTTGCCGGGAGCAAGCGGGAGTGACGGAGGAGGCAGAGCGCTCGGGCATCCTCATTCCTGGAACGTGGCACTCCCTGATTGTCTCAGCCTTCCCTGTCTGACCGCTTGTCTCTCACAAAGCATCACCTTTACCCCTGAAATGACCTTCACCTTGCACATTAGCAATTCGCGCAGGTCCCTTCTCTCGGAGACTGCCCACTCCTCCAGCAAGACGATCAAGTCTTAGCTTCGTAACGATCCGTGGGGCAGCTGGCGCCAGACCTGGTCAGGGCACAGTGTATGTCTGATTCATCTTGGCGCTCCCAGCTCCCATCACAGTGCCAGGACTGAGGGTGCTCAGTACGTGTTTGGTGGATGGATGAGTGAGTGAGCACCTTCGTGATGCTGTCTTCTCAAATATGAACCGTCAGTCTGTGCACATGAGATTCTGGAAGGAGGTCCTGGCCACACCCAAGAGGAGGAAAGTCCGAGCAGGGGCAGACCCAGCCTGCAGCCCAAAGACCACTGGCCCCTGGGAAAGTTCCTTCTTGATCCTGAGCTTCAACATGTATTCTCTTTTCTGAGATGACACTTCCTAGGCTTTCTCCAGCCCCAACATTCTCTAATTGACTCAAGCAAGGATAAATAAGGATGCATTCTTTGAACACAACAGCCGGTTTTCTGAGCAAAATCCAAGATTTATGCCTTAGCTAGGTTCCACCAAACACCTCCCTCTTTTCATATGTTAGCAGTTTTGTGTCGAGTAGTTTCCTCATACGTGTGGGGTAATCGTGCACTGCGAGCAGCACCCTGTACAGAGGACACTCAACCCCAGCTCCCTGCTTTCAGTACCAATTATGTTTTGAAAAGTAATCGAAACAAAATTCCCATCTCATGAACAGAGAATGTAAAGAAACGAGGCGCTGTGAAATGTAGTGCCAAATTCCCAGGGAGGCCTGCAATCAATCGGGTTGATGGAATTTCTCAGCAGGGGCCCTGTTGGCATTTTTTGAGGGGTGACTCTACCAGTGCATTGTCATTAACGTCCGTAGCTGCTGGGATCACTCACTGTGGCAACCACAGACAGCCCCCTCCCATTCTGCCAAGTGCTTGCTGGAGATCGGTGGGTGCAGCAGTTCTTAGCCGAGACCACACACGGGTAGATTTATCCCAGCCACAGGAGTGTTGAGTGACCTTCTGTGGGCCATTTGTGGGCAAGCGTGGCCCTGGGGAGGTTACAGCCTGAGGCATAGTCACAAAAACCAAAATTGCTTCCCTTTGCAATGAAAATAAGGAGGCAAACCTTTGGGTTTTGGGGACTCGGTGTAGACAGAACAGCCTTGGATGATCTGGTTGCATTTCCGACCCTCCAGCAGGGACTTCTGACTTCCCGGAGTGTAGGGAAGGTGGGGCGTCACTCTGGGAAGACTCAGGCAAGTCAGGGACACACCAAAATCAGGAACTGGGGGGGAGGATTTTGTGTTTGATATTTCACCAAAAAAAGCACTGAACAAGTTCATCATGGGGAAAAGGAACATCCTTTTCCTTTCCCTTATTTTAGAGCGTATGCCTACTTAGAGTTCTATGTTCTGTGTCTTTCCAGTGTTGAGGTTTCTAAAGGCCTGATGTCCCGGCTGAGAGCAGGTCAGGGGCATCCCCGTATCAGTCAGTTTCTCAGGCAGCGTTTCTGATTCTGGCTGGTCTCTGTGACAATGTCAGGTTCAGCCCTGGGGACCTTGCCTTTGTTAATGGGGTTTTAGCAGTGGTCCCCTGGGAAGCACCTAATGGCTGCCCGGGTCTCCTAATCCAGCTGGCACAATGCGATCACAATTCGGCAACCAGTCCCTTCTTTCCAGCTTCTCTCCTCTTTGCAGCTTTCTCCTTCTGCACAGAGTGTGCGAAAGTACAAGTGCTTGGGAAAAACAGCTTCGCAGATCCTTATGAACTTAATCTCACACACACACCGCCTGACCCAGCAACCCCACCCGAGGGATTTATCCAAGAGGAGTATTAATAGGAAACATGTCTACACAAAGACTTGTGCACAGATGTTTACAGCAGCTTTATTCACGACAGTGGAAACCCGGAAGCAGCCTGGGCGCTCACTCTCAGGTGAACGGCTGCACAAACTGTGGTGTTCCCGCAGTGAAATCCTACCCGCAGTAAGAAGGAGGGGACCACGGACACATGCGACAACACAGATGAATCTCAAAAACACTTTGCTAAATAAAACACACAAGAAAAGGGAACGTACACTGCATGATTCCATTCATGTGAATGCCAAGGACAAGCAAATCTCACCTGTGATTTTAGAAATCAGAAGAGTGGCTGCCCCCAGGGTGAGATTGACTCGAAGGAGGCACAGGGAAACTTTCTGGGCTGCTGGAATATTCCGTGCTTTACTGGGGGTGTGGCTTCCACTGGTGTATGCATGTGACACAGCCGATCAGACAGTACATTGAGGTGGGTGCGTTTCACTAGATGTAAATTACACCCTGATAAGAATCATAACAATGAAGCCATCCCTGGTATCCTTCGGGAAGTCATCCACTGGTTCCCCACGTGCTCTTGCACCCCTCGAGGTGCTTATCATGGAGTGCACACCGAGTCTGGGGCATAGTTCTGATTCTTTTGCAGACCTGCCCAAAGCTAATACTGTCTGTCCGTATGTCCATCCCTCCCTTTCTCTCCCCTCCTCTCATTCTTTTTACAATTCTGGGCACTTCTTTCCAGCTGTGTCTGAGTCTTCCCAGAACCCATAGGATGAGGCTGTGTGATGTCTTTGCTGTTCTGGGAGGAAAGTGAACCGTCCTTATCTACACCTGCCCTTCAGGTCCACCCCAACACAGCGTGTGCCCAGGGAGGGAGGACAGGCTCACCCGTGGACTCCGTGAATTGAATAGCGATGGGAGGGTCCTGGAGCACCCAGTGTCAGTTGCACTGTCCGTGAAACTTTTCCAAATTGAGGCCACCCTCTTCCAAACTGAGATGGCCACAGGTATCCCACCACACAGGCCGAATCCAGGAAGGGAGAGAGCCTGCCTCTTGCAGGAAATTAGCTTAAGAAATGAACACGGCCGAGCCTCCCTTTCTCTCCTTCCTCCCCCAGTGTCCCCTGTGAGCCCCGCTCCCCACCCCCACCTGCAGAAGAACCAGATTTAATGCCTCAGCTGAGAGAATGAGATGTTCTGTTATTTTTCATGGGAAATTAGACCTGACCCTGCTGTCAGTTAGCTCATGCCGAGAGAGGATGGATGGCCTGGGGCGCCGCGCTCAGCCCCTGCTCTGAGCACACCAGGGCCGGGATGGAGGCGCTTGGGGCCCAGCCTGGCTGGGGGCCAGCTATGATGTCACCTGCTGCAGGGTGGGGGCAGGGACAGTAAGAAAGGTCAGAGAGCTCTTATCTGGGTGATGGATGGTGGTGACCCCCTCCCCCTACCTGTCGTTGGTATCACCCACGACAGTCCCACCTCTGAGGCTGGGCCCACCGGCTGGCTCATCCAGGGGAGACTCAGGCTGCTCCTGTCTCTTTCAGCTCCCAACTCTACCTCTTGCCCCGCTGAGGAAAGCTGGTGGTCAGGGCTGGTGATCATCATTGCCGTATGTTGTGCCTCCCTGGTGTTTCTGACTGTGCTCGTCATCATTTGCTACAAAGCCATAAAAAGGTAAGTGTCTGCCCACTGCACCCAGCTCTGAGCCTAATGGAGCTCCTGCACCCACCCCGTCTTTTTTTAAATTATAAAAATTGTTAAGCATAGAAGAAGCAGAAAGAACATACAATGAACTCCCATTTACCCTTAATTCAACAGTTATCAAGATTTTGCTATATTTGCTGTATCCGTTTTCTTTGATCTTTTTCATTGCTGCAATATTTTAAAGTGGATCAGACATAACATCCCCATTCATTTTTAAGGAGTTCGATTCCACAGACATTTGATAAGCACCAATTATATGTCAAGCCCAGTACAATACAAAAAATGCAAAAATGTTGCAAAATACCAAAGGGCGATAGGAGTTGTTAATAATATAATATTTCTAAGAAAGTTTTTTAAAAGTTTCATGAAGCCCAAAGTTAGAGGGTATTTAGTTATTACGATTGTAATACCTAAAATATTTAATTTTCCTCTTTGAATCGGATGTTTTCTGTGATTTCACTTTAATAATTCAAGAGCAGAAGAATAAAATATCAAGTTAAAAGTCTTCCATGAGCGCATGGCCAGGCACACAGGACAAAGGGCCGTGAAAAGCCAACAGCCCGGGAGCATCCCGGCAACTGGGCAGAAGATGCTGGACACTGAGGGGGAGGGGCAGGGCGTGGCGGCTCCACACAGGACGGGCCCTGCCCTGGGCACCTGCCTCCCAGCCAAGAACCCAAGCCGGGAGCCCCTCTGCCCCCATGCTCCTGCTGCGGGGCGGTCTCCCAAACTGTGCTAAATAACGAGGGAATAACCGCAGTCCGGCAATACCTCCACCGGGCACTGGGCTTGTTTCCTCACCCACGTTCTCTCAGTTCATCTCCACCCCACCTTTTCCCAGTCAGCTCCATTTAGCAGACGAGGAAACTGAGATTCTAAGGAGTTAGGGAGCTGTCCAGGATGGCACAAGCAGTGAGCAGTGCAGGCGGAATTTGAACCCAGAATCATGAGGCTCCAAAGCCAGCCCTGACCTCAGCGCCATGGCTCAGTGTTACGGACGAGTCAGCACAGTGTTGGGCTAGTGACAGACATTGATATCCCAGTCTGCCCTTCCTCAGGGGTGTGGAAAAGGGGGCGACCAGGGGTGTGTGAGGCATGCCTGTGCCTCTCTGAGGCCAAAAGGACAGACAGACGGAAAGGCCCAAGGTCTGAGACCCTGTAACTCTGGGCAGGGGCCTGGCCTCTCGGAAACCAAGGTGGATGCATTGGAGTCTCCCAGGGGACATGGCTAGTGTAATTCCTAGGTGTTCTGTGGGCGCCTCCTGTGTGCCAGGCTCGGTGGGCATAGAAACTGGTAAGACGCAGGCTGTGCCCGCAGGATGCTCACCTGGCCTCGGGGGTAGGGGCTGATCTGTGAGTCAAAAAGGCAGGTGGGGGATTCTTGAGCAGCCTGTTGTGGCTGAAGGAGTCCTGGTGAACCCCGACCCAGATGACAGCAGCATTTGAGCCAGGAGCCTGCTGGCTAGGAGGAGGATTTTAGGAAGCAGAGCAGAGGCGGCAGCACAGGCAAAGGCCTTGTGTGAGCAAAAGCACCAGGAAGCCACTGCAACCCAGAGGATGGTGCTGGAGGGAGCTGCCAGCCTGACTGGGGAGGCCTTTGTCACCAGGCTAAATGTGACTTTGCCTGTGACTCCAGGCACCAGGAACTACTGAAGGTTTGAGGAAGAGTATGCTCCACCAGGGCACCCCCCTTCCCCTCAGAGATGCTCAACATAAATAATCTTTTAAATAAATTCACACTCTTACAAAAGACTCCCTGAGCCACTTCTGCCTCCCTCCCTGCCCCAAACCTACCCTGAAGAATTGTGCTACCTGCTTCAGCTGGAGGCGGGGAAAAAGAACACATCAGGAGAACAAACTCCCATTAATATCCTACCCTGGCAGTGTTGCCCGGCCGCAGCCATCGTAGGCTTGCTTTCGGTTGGGCTGGGGCTCTCCCAGGAAGGAATGGGCCCCCTCTCAGAGCAATAGGAGGTGCCTCCTGTCTGCCCCCTGTCCCCTTCCATTCTCAGAGAGAGTGGTTCCTGGGTTCTTGGTTCCTGGGTCTATCAGTGTCCTGGGAAAAAAGAGAAGTCACCCAGATGGCTCAGTTGACCAGATTTTGATGGTGGGCTCCTTCCAGGGGTGTGGGCAGGGCTTATTCCAGGGGTGTGGGCAGGCGGGGCTCCTCCCCAGAGCCATGGGCGGGGCTCCTTCCAGGGGTGTGGGCAGGTGCAGGGAGCAAATGGGGCTAGTGAGGCGCTCAGGGACTAGCAGCAGTGGGGGCAGTTAGCACCCCTAGGACGACAGGCAAGGGAACTAGTGCCATGAGAAGCTAATGAGAGACTCTCACTCCGCAGGGGGGCTATCCAGCAGGAGCTGTGATTGGAACTGCAAGAGATGCCGCCCCCAAAACAGGGAGGAAGGGCAAGGAGATGCTGCCAGCCTCTCTCCACACTCTCAGCTCTCCCATGGGTGCCTCCATTAGCCAAACAGAAGTAGCAGGCGAACCGGGAGATGCATGCAGCCAGTCGGCCTCCTGGTGGAATGGGCAGATGGGGGTGTGCACGGAGGCTCTGCAGCACAGCGCCTTTCTGCCCCAGCACCATGCTCTGCGTCCATCTCTGGGCCAAGGCTGGGGACGCAGGGGAAGAAGACCCAGCCCTCTGCCCTCGAGATCTTCATAAGCCAGAGAGGGCATCCCTGGTGCAGCAGACAGATACTCAGTGACAGGAGAGGGCTGTGCTCACTGTGGGAGGAGGCAGAAATAGAGCCCAGCACTGTCAGAACCCACCTGGAAGGAGGCTGGGGAGGGAGACTTAACCCCTTGTAGGAGAGAGAAGGAGGCAGCAGAAGTTACAGCCCCATGGGGGAGAGCAAAGTGCCCCTCCCTGCCTCCTGGGCTGTAAGAGAGAGCATCATCGGGAAGCCAGCTCGCTGCCTGGCTGCGTTTCTCTCCAGAGTAAGTGGAGGATTTCTTGCTCTCTGCCAACTGTTTTTGGTCAATAATTCATCTACAACATGCCTTTTCTCTTAGGAAACAAAAGCATCCTATGTCACTGTAAAACCATTAAAAGGAGAATTTAGTGAGGAGCCCTCCCCCCTCCCCCGCC